GCCCATGGAGCTTCGAAAGCTTGCAACAAGTATATTGTGCATTTTGGTGGCCAGTAAAGGTGTCACTGATGGATTTTTGTTTGAATTTGCTAAATGGCCCTGAATGTTTCCTAGGGGTGGTGTCTTGCTGCCCCCTTCCTTGCCAGATTGGGGCCGCAGCAACCGCCCTGATCCAGTGGTTTGCCACTCTAAAAAAAGCTGGCAAATGCTGCTCCTTTTTAGAGTGGCAAAAAGCTGCCATTACTGCTGTGGTGGCAGCTTTTTGGTGCTCCTTTGGTGCAGTGTGTATGAACGCTGTGCCAAGGAAGCGCCCTGACACTGCCCACTGTGCAGTGGGGCACACAGCATGATGGCAGCATTGAGGCGGAGTTGGGGCAGCCAGCGTGCAGTTGTCATGCCCCAACTCCACCCCCAGGCCAGCCTTTTTGGCCTGTCTGTATTCCCCCCAGTCTCCAGAGTAACAGCTCAATGCTCAAACCACTATTCCATTGTAAGAAGGACTTGAACTTGGGGAATTACTAAAGTCCAAATCTTCAATGGGATCCTTTATCCCATGTTTACGGAGGTGGCTAGGAATAGACTGATAGAAACAAAGCTTTCCAATGAATTGTGATTTATTTGTGGATTCAAACATACAAAGACACCCTATCATTCACTCATACACGCAAGAACTCAGGAATAAAGTAGTTAGCTTGGAGAGAGAACAGAAGGCTTTTTAATGTTGATAATTAACTGAAGGAGGCTGCTCCAACAATGAATGAAGATGGATAGACTCAACTGTTATGAAAGGGAAAGGACAACAGAAAGAGCTGGGACCCAAGTCAGAGTTCACAGTAATGCAGTGTCACCATGACATCTAACCAGACTCAATGTGCCTGGGATTTTGGAGATCTTTTGGGGATCTTGGGGATCTTTTGGGGATTTTGGGGATCTTTAAACCTGGCCTTAAACCTGGCCTGAGGTGAAGAGTTGCTATTGTATATCAAAGGATTCTGGATTACTACTCTTTGAAGTAAACAGTTTCCAAGGAGAGGAGATAGGATATTAGTGTTATCTCATCTTCAGCCGGACACATCCTGACCAGTAAGATAAATGTCCTAGGTGCGAATATCCTGTTTTGCAGCTCCTAGGCTTAGCCCTTTTGATCTTCAAATTGTTGTAAGTGCAGATATGATATTTCAGGTGCCTATGGACGTTATCACACTGGCCCTAAAGCAGAAAGAATCCTGCATCATGCCTGCACCCTTCCGGTTCTTTTTTCTGTGTGTTCACACAACGTCGCACATAGCCCCGCCCTTCCCTGCATCATCCCTGCATCCTTAAGGCATCATTTCAGTTCTTTTGAATTCCGGGCATCTTGAGGAATTACAATTCCGTGGCCGGAATGATGCCAGAATGATGCAGCTTTCGCCCGGCCTCGCTGCTCTATGGGCGTGGTCGCCGAAGCGGTCACTTCGGA